TGCTTCCCACCTCCATAGATGTAGACAGGCCAGAGGTGGCAGGTGCCCTGGGCCCTGGACAGTGCCTCTCCAGTAAGGCAGTGAGTGCCACCAGCTGTTTATCAGTATGAAAGTTGGGAGGCTTGTACTATTTCTGACCTTAGTTTCTCCCTATAAAATCCAGGAAGGTGGGGGAGTGGTGTGACCTACCTTGCCCTCATCCTCTTCACTGGAAGTTAGGCTAAACCCATTAACTGCTGGAGTGCTTGTTATTCCAAAGAAAGATCCTCTTGCCCAAAAGGAAGCTGTTGAGAGGATGTGCCAGTTGGTCACTGTGAGCTGGTTAGTCCTTCACGTGGGGTAGTTGAATGTAGCTGGAAGGGACTTTGGCATTTTCCTACTTTTTGGATTGGTAAGCATTACTCTTAGTTGGGAATATGAGTTAGGAGGAAGGGACATAAAAATACTACCAGTTCTGTGGGGTAGATGTTTGGCCTGGCAGTTAAGATGCTAGTTGGGATCCCACCTCCCACATGGGAATACCTGGATCCTAAGCTTCTTGCTAATGTGGGTCCTAGGAAATAGCAGTGCTGGCTCAAATAGTTAGGTTCTCGTAACTGTGTGAGAGACCTTGATTGAGTTTCTAGCTGAGGTATTAGCTTCGCTGGGCCCTTGTGGGCATTTGAGGAGTCAAGATTGCTGATTGAGGTGTGTGTGTTTGCACACCTTTCAAATAAATAAATAGCTAAAATGACAAGTTCTAGAATCTAGGATTTGAACTGTCTTGGCAAGTTTGCCTAATCTCATCTTAAAGTGATCTAGGTATTTGGGGGATGCATGAGCTGTTGAGCAAACAAATTGGAGCTGAAAATATCTGCTGGAACAGGCTTGACTGTGGAGCCTTCCTGGATTAACTCACTTGTGGAAGTGTCATGATAACTGAGTGGGAAGGGGATGCAAGCATATTCAGACCTCCCCCCACCCCTGCACCCCAACAGAAGCTGAGAGGAGGAGTGGTGGTTGTGCTGGCCCCCAACCAGCCCTTTTCCCACGTCTACTGTCCTTTTTCGTTCCTTCAGAGATTATGTTGGAATTAGTTTTGTCTACTGCACTGCCCTGGCATTGTGTTGTTTTTCTGTCTCTAAACAAATAGCACTTCTCACTGGCTTACCGAACTGGGCATCCACATCCCTTTCAGCTCTAGATCGTTAGATGTATGTTCTGTGGATGGATTAGATTATGGGCAGCGACACACTAACAGGAAAGTGAATTTTCTCCCCCTCTACCCAGTTCTGCTGAGCAAGCAACCTCCTCCTGATTGTTCTCTTACACGATGTGTTGTTCAGTAACACAGCCTTTCACAGCATGGCGGAGCGGAGCCCTACTTGTGGTTGCCAATATGGCCACAGAGAGGTTACTGTAATCCAAGATGGATGGGAGCAGAGTGTATGTGTCATCTTTTAAATCAAGAAGTTGGCCAAGGTTTCATAATAGTTGCAACTGCCATTTATTGTATCTCTAACACAACAACGGCTTTTACAAAGGTGATTCTCAGAATGACTCCGTGAGGTACCTAGCACAGCCCTGATTTTCTGGATGTGGAATCTGAGTTCAGTAAGGTCACATGGCAGAGTGGCTGGCGAAGAGCAGAGGGTGTCAACTCAGGCCAGTGTGGACACCAGGCCTTCATACTGCCCTGCAGCTCACTGTTATCCAGCCCTGGCCTTGTCTAGTCGCTAGGGTTTGGTGGAAGAGGAGTTGGAACAACTGAACAGTACTCCGACTCTGACACTGTACGTGGTATCTAGACAATGTTTCTGAAAAGCCTTCTAGACTGAGATAGTCACACCTCCCTTTTTGTCACTTCTAAATTACAGGTTTTCCTTTGCATATTTTATTATGTTAAAAGCCAAGTTGGCTTTTGTTTTTCCTGATAAAAGTGCATGCTTAGTGCAGAAAATGGAGACGCAGTCAGGGCAGGTTGCCCAGGCCTCACTCCAGCTCTCGGATGTGTGAGACGTGGGAAGTGAAGGGGCTGTGGGTGGATGGACCCTGCGTGGCGATTTTCCTCTGATGTGACCCTGGGCTTACCGGTGCTGCAGCTGTTTGTTGTCTGTAAGGTTAGAAATCATCTCTTACTTCTTTGAAGCTTTGTTAAAATTAAATGTGTTAATAGCTGTGAAATCCCCCGATGTGACCCAGACATGTCTGACATTTTGATCAATAACCTTTTGCCCTTCCTCTCTGAACATGTATATATATATGTAAAAATATATATGCTGGTAAACACAAATGAATAAACAAAACTGAAGTGTTTTCATTATTTTAAAAACAGACCTTCGTGTAGAGGGCCAGAGGGGGAGAGAGACAGATAGACAGACAGCAATCTTCCATCTACTGGTTTATTCCGCAGATGCTCACAGCAGCCAGACTAGGCCAGGTCAAAGTTGGAAAATGGGTACTCCATCATGGTCTTCCAAATTATGGGCAGGAACCCAAGTCTTTGGGCCATCTGCGGATGCTTTCCCAGGTATATTACCAAAGATCTGGATCAAAAACAGAGTTCACTGGGACTCAAACCGCACCCTCCAGTGTGGGATGCTGGCATCCCCATCAGTGGTTTAGTGTGCTGTGCCATAGTGCCTGCCCTGTTTTGTAAATCTGCTGCTTTTCATCTGATGATACTCTGTAACTACCTTCCCTAGCCTTTAAATAGCCTCTCCATTGCTTGGCAGGTTTCTGTACCCCCACAGCATGACGATGGGAGCAGAAGAGACCCTGCATTGTTGGGCCTGCACATCGCCAGTGTTGCACTGATGAAATGCAATTTCAGACAAACCTGAGTAGCAGTTATGATATGAATGGTGATACTGGGTGACAGCAGCCTCTGGTTCTTTTCAAAGCACACCTAACCTCTCTCTTTGGGCATTAGTGAGGGCCAGGAAGTGTTCCCTTTGGTTTCTGGTGATGTATTTATTTGACTCCTTTTCTTTATTGGCATAAAACTCCTGCTGGTCTCTAACTGGTACAAACCATTGATGAGTAATTGCTTAACTTCTCCCCAGCTCTCCACTGCCTTGTACCCTTAGTAAGCTGATGGGTCCTGTTTCGAAACTGCTCTTCCCTGCCCTGCCACATTCAGGTGCATTCTACATGCAGTCTTTAGGGTCTATGGAGGCAAACCAGCGATCAGTTAATTCAGGGATGCTCCCCCTTGGAACGGTTATGGCTGTGAGGAGTTTCTTCTCCCAGAGTACAACACAAATCCCTGGATGTTGGCTCACTCAGAGCCAGGCCAGACTGAAGCCAGGAGCCTGGAACTCCAACAGGGTCTTCTGTGCAGGTGGTAGGCATCCCACTTGTTGAGCTGTCCCCTGTTGCCTCCCAGAGAGCCCATCAGCAAGAAGCTGGGGTTGGGGGTGGAGCCTGGACTTGAACCCAAGCAGGCACTTGCCTGTGGGGTATGAGCATCCAAAGTGGTGCCCCAGCCGCTGGACTACATGTCTACCCCTCCCCTGCAATTCAGGACTCTGCTGCCTGACCACCCTCAGAAGCAGCCGCTTGCTGAGACATTTAAGGCAAGGGCTTGATTTTTCCACTCTTCATTTCATGCTAGAAAACGATCCCCTGTGTTGTTTGGGGTGATGTGTTGGCCAAAGTTGCAGAGGAACCGGGGTGTTTCTGAACTGTACTGGAATGACCTGGGGAGGTAACAGGAAAAAAAAAAGCCTGTTTTTATTGCACACATTTATGAGTGTGAAAGTATCTATTACTTCCACCATCTTTTTGCAAGTGCATTTTCATTATTTTCTGAATGACACCTTTTCTGTGAGAGAGATGGAGTAGCATGCCTTCCCTTCACCACAGAGGGGCTGACCCAGCTGGAATTTCCGCTGCTTGTCCTCCAAAGCCTCCACAGAGCCACAGCTGTCTCTGGAAAACCCTGGACAGACATAGGAGATGCTGGCGTACTAGAGGGGCAACCTGCACACGCATATTCTTACAGTCCTGTCTGGAGACTGCAGAGGCAGAGAGGGGGCTTGTCTCTAAAAAGTCATGGTCCAACATCCTTGACCTTCAAACTGTTGTGCTGCTGTGAGCTAAGCTGTAGGAGTGGTGGATGACAGGATTATTTTGGGCTCAATGGCTCAGTCCTGGCAGGAGTTCTTTACATGTAAAATGTAGACCTGGCATCTACAAAAGGTTTAGGCATCTGACATCACTTTTCCCCCTGTAGTTCACACGTTGGCCTTTTCTATACTGGGGTTATCATGCATCCCCGGTACATGTTCCTATTAAGCAACTTCAGATACAGTGGCACATGTAATTAGAATGGCAGAGCTGGCTTCTAACAGCGGGACCCTGCATCCCTTCCTTTTGCTCCCAAGAGACCCACAAGCCTTGAATCTTTTTGGTTGCTGCTCGCAGCAGGACAGCAGATCCATACCGCAAAGCCAGGTTGGTGATTCTTTTTTCTTAGATAAGAACTTCCTGTACTTAATGTGTCTGCTATTCTTGTCTTGAGTGTATCTCTGGCATCTTAAAGATGCCCTTGTAGTTAAATATTGGCAAGACTGAAGTAGCTGGAGGAGAGCAAGCAAGGAGAGCCTGGGCTGGTGAGGCGGTACCATGGGTTCAGTCTACTGAGCTACTACTACTGCCTACAAGATAAGGAGGCTAATGCTAGTTGGGGTCTTTTTGAGCTTCGGATTGTCTCAGCTATAGCTAATGAGCATCCTTGCCTCCCTGTAAACCCCAGAACCACACTATTGGATGGCCACTTCCTAGACAGAGGCAGATCCAGTTTTTCTCCAGTGAGTGTGTGGTGTGTCGCTTCGCTGGCCCCCCTGCCACCCACCCGGCTACCCTTCTCTGCCCTCAGTTGCTTGCCTGAAGGTTACATGGCATGAAGTGGCAGCTTGCCACTTGGTGCTTGGGGCATGAGGCATCTTATTGGACCAAGGAATCCAAGGCAGACATAGCAAGGGGCTGATGCCAGACTGACATGACTTTTCTTTGCTTCCTGTGTGTTTTGTCAGGATCAGGTGTTCCAGTCACCCCTCTCGCCCTTTTCCCGGATGGAATACGCCAAAAATCAGGGTGTGTGTCAACATCAGGACTCAGAAGACAAAGGGATGGGCTCTGATTTTGAGAACTCTGAGGACTTGGAAGGAGACCCAGAGGAAAGAGCTGTAGGCTCCAATCCCCAGGATACAAAGAAGGTGGAACACTGCCTGGTGCGGGGAATGGGCTGTAAATCACAGGATGCAACCAGAAGAGGGGCCTCGAGGCACAGCAAAGCAGTGTCCAATGTCTGCACAGGTGAGGAGGAAGTGGACTTTTTTTCTTGTAAATGTTCATTTGTTTGTTTAAAAGGCACAGCAATAAAGGGGGCAGTGGTAGGAGGAAGAGATGGGGATGGATGGTGAGGGAGACAGAGAGCAAGAAAGAGGGGGATATTTCATCCACTGCTTCACTCTCCAGTTAGCTGCAATGGCTAGTGCTGGGCCTGGCTGAAGCAAGGGGCCAGGAACTCCATCTGGATCTCGCACAGAGGCAGCAGGGGCCCAAACACTTTGGCCATCTGTTGCAGCTCTCCCAGGCTCATTAACAGAGAGCTGGACTAGAGGCAGTGTAGCCAGATGCCAAGTGGTGCCTATGTGGGATGCCAGCATTGCAAGAGGTACCTTAAGGTGCTGTGGCACAGGCTGCACTTGAAAACTGGACTTCTTATGGAAGTTGTCCTCCCATTTACCTCTAGCTCCTTTAGGATCCTAAGCGAGGACAGCATCCTTTGTCAAGGCATTTTCCAAAGAAGATTCCTAAGCAGACTTCTGGACCAACCTAGCTTTTTTAGTGTCTGTGTTGGGGCAGTCAGCCTTTGGTCCAGTCTGAGACAGGCTGTGCGTGTGAGCTGGGGTGAAGGGGCTCCCTCACAGGTCCAGAGAACGCTGCTGTCAATACCAGCTTGGCACAGAGTACCTCACAGATCATGTCAGCCTACCCACCTCGCTGTGTTCCTGGGAGAGCTAAACAATTGGAGGCAGGTAGAGAGGTACCACCATGTTGGGCAGACAGACAGATAGGATGCACATGGGCAGTCCCAGTCCTGGTCCCAAGCTGTAGATCAGCAGAAGCCGTAAGTGACCTGCCCGGGCCCAGAGGACTCCTTCCCAAGGTACCCAGGCCTGCTGCTGGATCCCTTGCTATTCCTGACATGCAAAGAGAAAAATGCTAGAACTCCACCCTCCTGGATTCTGGCTCTGGGCACTGGGTGCTTTATGTCCTGCTCTGTTTGCCCTTGGGACAGAAAAGAGCTGAAAGAATTTACAGCCAGCATTGTGAGATGACATCCTTTCCCTTGCAGCGTGGCCTCAGCTGCCCTGCTGCCTGCCTGCCCGCCCACCCCCACAGGGCACACAAACAGGAGGCTTTTCACCTGTCTGGGACTCCCTGGCTGCCCTCCACTCGGGGCTGCTCCATGCATCCTGGATCAGCCTTCAGCCTGGGCTCACCAGCTCTGTGTACCCCTTCCACTCTGTCTCTTGGCACCTCTCCCTCCCTACCATCTGTCAGTTTGGGGGTCACCTTAAACTGTTCCAGACTGACACGATGTGTTTTCAAAAGCAGTTGAGAATTGGGTAAGCCAAGGTTGGCTTTTCTTGGAGTTCCAGGACTGGTCTTGTCTTTTGGGGCTACAGGCTTGATTCAGGGGCTTTGGGCCTGGGGTGGGCAAACCTTTCCTCCAGAGAGTCTGTGGACTGTCTCCAGTATTGACTGCCAAGGCCTTCAGTAGCCCTCCAAGGTGGCATCTCAGCGACAGTGACAGCAGATAATGGCCTGCTGTCCTCTCCATGGGCAGCTGCCTTCAAGCTGAGGGAGAGAGTGCTTCCCATACCAGGCCTTTCCCTGGGGGGGGAGGGAGGCTTAGCACAGGTGCCCTTCTGAGTCCGAGGGAGGAGAATGAGCAGCACCTTGCCCCACGGTTTGCTCTGGACCTGCCTTTGACACCCCACATAGAGTAACCACTTCTGCTACCATTTTTGTTGTAGACGGGCTGCTACGGGAGGCCCGAGGGGCTGCTGGTCCCGAGGAAGAGGATGATGAGTCTGGAGGAGCCGACATGGCCATATTCGCTGGACTGTCTGAGTCGGACAGCGTATCCCGCAGTCCCCAGCAGGAGGAGGAGGAAGTGGAGGAGGAGGAGGAAAGTGCTGGGGAGAACCAGCTGGAGGAGGAGGACAGGGAGGAGCAGCAGCAGCCTCCTGCTGTGCTCCCCTGGAGGCGCCACCTTGCCCTGGGGACTCGGCACCTAGGTGAGAAGCCTGCACACCGCCGCTTTCTCCGGCCCCACCACCCTGTGGCTGTGGACCTCGGGGACCTTGATAGTCTTGTGGCCAGCATCATGGACGCGCCCACCATTTGCCCCGATTGTGGGGAGAGCTTCAGCCCGGGTGCCGCCTTCTTGCAGCACCAGCGCATTCACCGCCTGGCCGAGGCTGCGGCTGTGGCCAGCCTGGAGCCCTTCGGCTTGTCGGGCGAGTGTGGAGCCATGGTGGGGATGATGGGTGTGGGTGTGGCGGGGGGCTTTGGTGCGGGTCCTACGCTGGCACGGCCCCCGCGGGAGAAGCCCTTCCGCTGTGGGGAGTGTGGCAAGGGCTTCAGCCGCAACACCTACCTGACCAACCACCTACGCTTGCACACGGGCGAGCGGCCCAACCTGTGCTCCGACTGTGGCAAGAGCTTCAGCTGGCGCGCTGACCTGCTCAAGCACCAGCGCCTGCACACAGGCGAGAAGCCCTACCCGTGCCCCGAGTGCGGTGAAGCCTTCAGCCTCAGCTCGCACCTGCTCAGTCACCGGCGTGCCCATGCCGCAGCTAGCGGTGCCGGGCCCGCCGCGCTGCGTCCCTTCGCCTGCGGGGAGTGCGGCAAGGGATTTGTGCGCCGCTCGCACCTGGCCAACCATCAGCGCATCCACACGGGTGAGAAGCCGCACGGCTGTGGCGAATGCGGCAAGCGCTTCAGCTGGCGCTCGGACCTAGTGAAGCACCAGCGCGTGCATACAGGCGAGAAGCCCTACATGTGCTCTGAATGCGGGGAGACCTTCAGTGTCAGCTCACACCTCTTCACGCACAAGCGCACGCACTCAGGCGAGCGGCCCTATGTGTGCCGCGAGTGCGGCAAGGGCTTTGGCCGCAACTCGCACCTGGTGAACCACCTGCGCGTACACACGGGCGAGAAGCCCTTCCACTGCGGCCAGTGTGAGAAGCGTTTCAGTGACTTCTCCACGCTCACGCAGCACCAGCGCACGCACACAGGCGAGAAGCCCTACACGTGCATCGAGTGCGGCAAGAGCTTCATCCAGAGCTCGCACCTGATCCGCCACCGCCGTATCCACACCGGCAACAAGCCGCACAAGTGTGCTGGTTGTGGCAAAGGCTTCCGCTACAAAACGCACCTCGCCCAGCACCAGAAGCTGCACCTGTGCTAGGGCTGGGCTGGAGGGAGGCTGCACTCCGGAGAACGTGTGGGGTGCAGAAAGGAGCAAGGGGTGGGAGGGACAATCTCAGAGTGACTAGGGCTCCTTTGGGTGTTGGGGTCCTGAAGGGAAGGGTTCTAGATGAATTGCTCCTTGGGGATGCTATGTTTTCTCAGCCTCCTCCCTGCCTGGGAGATGTGCTTGGTTGATGACTTCACAGTGTACAGGCTTGTAGGGTGTGGAGGAGCAGGCAGTTTGAAGATCTTCATGATGGGACTTCATGCATTGGTTGGCAGGCAGTGGAGTAGGTTGGGCTGATGGCCTTTGGGAACCAGTGGACCGGGTGTGGTTGGAGCAGGGGATTGTTGAGTAAACAAAACACGGGTATAAATAATAGTGTTTTGATCCTGGCATGTAGTAAGCCAGTGTTTACCCAGACCCCCCCAAACAAAGCTAGGGGAACTTGGTCACTCCTTCAGGAAAGGGGATTTAGTACACTCTAACCTTCTTTGAACCACAGTGAGCTGCTATTTGAGGAAAAACTGAGCAGAAAGCCTACACACTTTTTTTTTTTTTCAAAAGACCATTTCTGGGGTTAAAGATTCTTTCATAACTGGTTCTCAGATTTGGGGAGTCCTGGTCCTGCTGCTGATTCTTTGCTACTTTCTTGAAAATAACCCCGGCTTCATGCTGGCTAAGGGTTCTCTACAAGAGGGACTCACCTCCACCTCCCATGTCTGATGTGACCCGGTCTTCTGTTATCTCCTAGGTCTCACTTGTAATCGTGCATGTGCACGGAAATCGGAGCATCCAGCCACTATCCTGGGGAGTACAGGAGACCAACGCATTCGGAGGGTGGGATGCAGGCCTCTTTCCCAGTTGCCTTCACTGTGCACCTTGTTCCCCACTCACTTCCTCCTCCATCCATATTGATGGAAGATCTAGGCCAACAGTGGAATTTTCCCACTGACCCGTGGAAGCTCTGTAGAAATCCTGAGGCTGTACACAAGGAGGACACAGTCAGGGAGAGGTATAAATGCAACATTGCCAAATAGCACAAGCAATGAATGTTTCCTGGTTGTTGATCTAGATGCCAAAATAGCGCTTTTGTACTTGCAAGGTGCTTTTATGATTTTTAATGATAGTTGTTGCTCACATCTTTGTGAGGTAGATCAGTATTATGGCTCCTGTCTTACAGAAAGCCTAAGGACAGGAATGTGGCCAGCTGTTGGAAGAAAGGCTGATATCAGTGTGAGTAGGTATGGCCTGATACTTTGTATTTTCCAGCTCAGCTGCTAGACACATGGACCTGTCATGAATTATGTAGTAAGACAAGCACACCGAAAATTCTTGTGCTTGGTGGAGAACTTAAAGGCTAGCCTAGGAGTGCAAAAGATGTCCTTATTGACAGAGCTGGTCTTTGTCCCCTCATTATGTACCCTGGCTAGGTTTTGTTTCTGGTAGGGAGCTATAGTTAGATGACTGTGGAGTAGATTTCAATCACCCATACTGAAAATTCTACTCCTAGGTTAACTTTTAGAAGTTAGAGTTGTGAAAGGCAGTAACGTTTTTTTCATTAGCAGTTGTTAACCTTATACCTTTCATGGAAGCATCTTCAATGCTGTTGGACACAATTAGGGAGGGGAGGGGAAGCTATAAAGTTGTTTTGACTGTTTTAGCAAAGTTTCTGTGAATGGTAGTAATTTATACTTGATCAGTTGTATTCTAGCAAATGACTTCTCTGGGGACTGTAGGAAAGCATGTTTTTGTCATTATAAGAACATATTTTTTAAAAAAATCTTGAGCATCCTGGGCTTGTATAATGCCAATTATTCCTGCCCTCTTAATCAGTTTATTGTTATTCAAAAATGGAAATAGATTTTCAAACTCTAGTTTTGAAAAACACTAGTTTTTTAATGTTAGGAAATGTAATACCAGCAAAGAAAATGTTCATGATTTATTCTGACTCCTGCAGTCTGAATAACTAGTGAATATTTGCCACCTGAAAATAATTTGGCTGATTTGTAGGTAATATTATTTCTTTGTGGTGTTTTTTCATGCACATCTACCTCTTACAACTATTTTAAGTTCTTTCATGTCTGTGCCAATGAAATCTCATCCAACTTTTGATTATTCATGGGTTGATTATCTACTTTATGGGTTCTTTGGTCGTTTGTTGCCAATTTTACATGCAGTTTTGTTTGCATCAAGTGTCACGTGTCAACAGTTTTACAGAAACTGAAATGGGGAGTAGACATTGAAGCCAATGTAAGGTAATTTAGTGGCAGTGGGAATTTTTATACTTCATTTACCTCTTGTTCTATTACTGTGCGTAGGAGTTAGCTACCACATCCATACCTGTTCTGTGAGCAAATCCCTTAGTGGAAGTCATGGGTTTAACACAACACCCCAACCTCATAGTACATTTAACAGGTGATTCCCAATTTCTCACGATTCTTCAGGAAACATGAGTATTAAGTGAGGATCAGTGTATTCAGGAGGTTGTTTCTTGTCTGTAGCTGTAGAATAATAGTTTTGCCACTCTTGAAAATTTTTATTTGAAGACTCTTCCCATCAACCCATTCCTGAGGGTGGTGCAGGTATCTTATTTGTTTCCTGGGGAGTGTGGCTAAGAGCAGGCTTCCTCTGCTGCCCTTTACTGAGTCAAGTCTGGAACAGTTGATTAGGTATTTTCCATTAAAGCTTAGTTCTAGGTTGGAAGATAAGCAGTTAACCCCTTGAGCCATGAGGTCTCTTCATAGACAAGAGGCGGTACCTTTCTGAAAAAGTACAACAGAAGAACCTGTGTTCAAAGACAATCTGAACTGCGTTTCTGAAGTTTGTGCACATTTTCCTTCATGATAATGTTATTTTACAGCTCTTTGTTAAAATAGTGAATAATTTAATGATTGCAAAGTAACAGATTTTGTGTGACTGTGTGCTTATGTATGTGAGAATTACCATATTTTCAGGTTATTTTATTTAATGATGGTTCCTTGAACAGCATTCTGGTGTTCAGAAACCAATGTGACATATTTGATATTAAAATGCATATCTGTCATTCACTGTGTCATTCCTGATTCCTTAATTGTCACCCTGTGAAATGTCACCCAGCTCAGTGTGTGGAAGCTATGTTCTCAAGTCTATCAAACCTTGGCCTGCTATTCACAAGATTTTAAAGCAAAGATTTCAAAAGAAATATTATTTGAAAGAGTGACAGGGAGAGACAGGGGGCGATCATTTATCCACTGGTTCACTCTCTCGTGTGGCTATGACAGCTGTGTCTTGGCCAGGCTGAAGCCAGGAGCCAAGACCTCCATTTAAGTTCTCATGGGTGGAAGGAGCCCATGCATTTTCGCCATTATTCACCACCTTGCCAGGCATAGCAGCAAGAGTTTGGATCGGAAGCAGAGTAGTGGGGTCTTGGATGTGTGCTCTGTGTTAGGACATGCCAGAACTGCAAGCTGCAGCTTATTCTGCTGTACCACAATGCTGACCATTGTAAGTAAGATTTTGTTCGAAGTTCTACACATCCAACCACATTAAGACATTGTCCATGATTACTTTAGCACTAAACTAAGAGAGTGTTGAACACTTGTGACTAAATAATCCATGGCCTTTTTTAATGTTTATTTTATTTTGATTTATTTGAAATGCACAGAGGTAAGGATCGATCTTCTTTCCCCTGGTTCACTTCCCCAAAGTCTGCAACAACCCAGCTTGTGACAAAGGGGAGCCGGGAGCCAGGAGTAACAACCGGTTCTCCCATTTACGTGGCACAGACCCTAATGCTTGAACCATCACTTTTCTATTTCCCAGGGCACGCATTAGCTGGAAGCTGAATCAGAAATGGGACTAGGCACTATGATACAGGGTATGAGCAACCCAAGTGATAACATGGTGTGTCAGGATGCCCACTTTCATCCACAATTAAAAAAAAGAAAGAAAGAATATTCTGGGCCTAGCAGAAGTCTTTGCCTTGCATGCACCAGGATTCCATATGGGTGCTGGTTCATATCCCAGCTGCTCTGCTTCCCATCCAGCTCCCTGCTTGTAGTCTAGGAAAGCAGTAGAGGACGGCCCAAAGCCTTGAGACAATACACCCACACAGGGGACCCAGAGGAAGCTCTTGGCTCTTAGCTTCGGATCAGCTCAGCATCAGCCATTGCATCCAACTGGGGAGTGAATCAGTGGGTAGAAGATCTTTGTCTCTTCTTTGTAAATCTTGCTTTCCAAGAAAAATAAATAAATATTAAAAAGAATCTTTCTTGGGAATGACATGTTGACGTAGTGGGTTAAGCCACTGTTTGCAGTCCAGACATCCTGAATGAGTGCCCTTTGAGTCCCAGCTCTTCTACTTCCAATCTAGATCTCTGCTAATGTGTTTGGGAAAGTAATGGAAGGTGGCCTAGGTAATTAAGCCCCTGCAGTCACATTGGGGACCTGGATGAAGCTTCTGGCTTAGCCTCTGTTGTTGTAGCCATTTGGGGAGGCAAAAAGCAAATGGAAGATCTTTGTTTCCTTTCTAGGTCTCCCTCTGTCTGTCACTGTCTTTCAAATAGAATAAATGAATTTTATAAAACTTCTTTCTTCTTTAAAAAAGTGACTGGATGAGAGAGAAAGAGAGAGGAGAGCAAGAGATTTATCTGCCCATTCACTTCCCAAATGGCTGCAGCATCCAGGGCCTGGATCTGGTGGGAACCCGGAACTCCATCTGGACCTCCCACATACAGGCAGCAGGAACCCAAGTACACAGGCCACCGTCTGCTGCTTGCCCAGGGACACTGACAGCTCCATCCTTAAGTCGGACAGCAGGGACTGCTACCTCCCACCCCATCATCCCCACCGCTCCCCACTCAGTTCACAATCTGAAGATACTTACCAATGGTCCTGTATAGGAAATGTTTGCTGATTCCTATGCTAGAATGTTCAGGTCAGTCCTAGAGAATGCTGAAATTGCTTGACAGCTGACATCTAAGGAGTCTGCTTATCACAAGCAGCAACTCTGAACAACATGCTTATGCTAAGAAGGCTTTGGGTAACTTGGAATGTGTTGATGTTAGTTTATTG